CCGGCAGAGACGGGCTGGGGACGATACGAACGCATGCACACAGCGGCTGGCTCTGGGTGAGAATCCTCAAATCTCGTCAACGATCCCTGGTCTCGCATAGGAAGGCCGGCGCGCGAAATTCTTCCACAACGGTGTTCGTGCATGAAGCTGTGCATCTGTAGTTTGACGCACTCATTCCTCATATGCATTCATACATACATACTGCAGTACCTACTTACTTTGTACATGCATCGTACATACATACAAACACACAGAAGATGTTGCGCTTTTTTTTTTTTTTTTTCTTCTCTCTTTTTCTCTCAAGTACGTGCATAGGCAAGCAAGCAAGCCGGGGGCTAGAAAAAAAGGGAATGCGAGAAATATTGAGCACTCACGACAAGATTACGCACATGCAATATGGTGAGTCAATTCGTGTAGCTGGAGCTCATATTCTAGTTTATTCATTTTGCGGTCCCTTGTTTTTTTCAAACCCCTCGTTTGGCCGGTTTATACTTGCCTGTCGGAAGCGAGATACGAGACGATATCGAGTCAGGCCTGCGTGGATGCGAAGGACTACATGACTATCTACAAGTATCTGGTTGAAAATCTGCCCTCCATTCCGCCTGCAGCAGCGGTGCCTGTATGGATGTCTGCGTATGTCTGCATACATACAGGTATGTCTGCACCGTCCCATTCGGCGTCCCCATGGGGCCTGATTTTGTTCTTTTCAGCTTCCTTTCCATCTGCCTTTCAAGCGTGCTGTGCAGTTACGTCGCATTGGCGTCCATCTCGTCCCCATCCATATCCCCATTGCGAATCCCAATCCCCAATCCCGTCGCATCGCTGCGCCCAGGAGGGAGGGGTTGGGGGGATTCCGGGGGATTCTGGATTTTGTTAGCCTTCCCTTTAGAACAGGTAGTAGTACTATTAAGGCAAAGGGAAAAAAAATTTTAAAAATTAAATATATATATACTATATAAACATCCACAAGCAACAAATAAAAAGAAAGGCCGAGAGGGAATTGGGAAGCAACAAAGATTCCCCCGCCTCCATGTCCGAACGACGCCCGGAGACCGGAATACAGTCGAGCACACAAACGTTTAGGTGTGCACGCCGTATTGAAAATAGTGTGGCGTGGTGTAACAACAGGTACATGTATTTTTGGACAAGAAAGAGGCGCAGTTACAACACAGGACTTTTGGACTGACTCGACAGGGCGCGTATTTTAGAAGAAAGAATTACGGAGCAGAGACTAGCAAACCACTCGCTGATCAGCAACAAGTACATGCGTGAAGCAAATAATAAACCCACGATAAAAATAAAATAAGATAAAAAAAAAAATGATGCCAAGAGTTGGCTGATCAACCACGGCACGATGCTACACACTTCTTAGTCTCTGCCCCTCTGATATCCCCGTGCCTTGTACAAGTAGAATACAATCCATGCGCGTAAACGCTGCTCGGCTAGTAAACATCAAGGCAAGCCTGGACCAACAGAGTAAATCGTAACTCGGCTCCATGCTCCATCTCTTTAGTCTGCTCCATATGCCCTACCTGTACATACAAGCGGGAACCATAATGGCAATACGATACGATACACCCCTCTCTTCCTCTGCCTACTGCCTGGAGTGCCGTGCTTGGAGATGCCCTCGCTTCCATCATCGTCACTTCTTCTCTGCAATGCTACTCCCCCCTCCTTCTTCCCATGCGGCCAGCCCCCAGCCAAGCGCACCATTTGCTTATCCCATCTCTCTCTCTCTTCAAGCTTCATCGATACGCCATCAAGGATGAAAACGCTCACCCCTCCCTGCCTTCTCACCACCCCTACCTACAGCATGCACCTTGATGAACAAAGAGAGAGAGAGAGAGAGAGAGACAAAAAGGAAACCCTCGAAAAAACGTGGCCATCTCGCCGCCCTTGTTCCATCCTAAATCCTGCGAAGCTCTTCGCACGTGTCTGGATCCAGTGTTGCTACGCAATTGACTCTTAGCCTCTTTTTTTATTCCATGACGGAATGCTACTTTGCACCAATCGACAATCACACACACGCCCCCTCCATCTACAGTAGCATTTCCATCTAAGACATGATTTTTTCTGGGCTTTTCTGCCTCTCTCTCTCTCCCTGCCTCTCTCCCTTGCTATATCTCTCTACCCTGCCTATATTACAGATTGATTGTAGTATTTTCTTAACGATACGCCTCATTGTACAAATTGTTCCGGCCTATTCGTCTCGGTATGAGATGTGCCGCTCGCACGAAGCAAAAACCATGACGAACATGGGGTGGGCAAAGGGCCTCACGCGACAAGGCGATGTGGCCCCCCCCCCCTCCCCCCAACCCCCAATTGTGGGCAAGAGATAATTTCACGTTCGCCCTACTGGTATAGGCGGTAGTTTGTATACTGGGATTGCTTGCTTTCAGCCAACCAACAACCCTCCTTTCGGGAGATGGGCAAGATACAAAAAAAGCAACACGCCATACCCACAGGGCAGCCATGGGAATAAGTAGGAAACAAATTGTCAAGGCTGGAAAGAGAAAGAGAGAGAGAAAAAAAAATAAAGTCGGTGCAAATACAAGCCCGAGTCGCCGTCTATCTTACTCTTTCAGCTGATACGCCTAGCTCGTCCAACGTGCATCATTACCCATTATTATGATCGTAGAGAGAGAGGCAGAGAGAGAGAGAGACTATCTTCTGTATACGCCTGCGGGATACTACACGATGTGACGCAACTGGTCCTCATCGGCGAGCAGAATTGCTTTCCATCCATAGCAATTACTCACACGCACACGCCCACACCCACATTGGAGCTATAGCTTAGAGCTAAGAGCTACTGATACCTGAACTTCACATATGCACGCGTCACTTTCTCATCTTCCTGTGCTGTAACACAAGAATCAACTGAAATTGTGGCCCAAAAGTTCAGCTCAGCTCAGCTCAGCCGCATGGCTCAGCTCAAGCGGTTTTTTTTTTTTTTCCTTTTTTTTCCTTAACCGAGGAACGGGTGGAGAGAAAGAGGAGAAAGAAGGAAAATTTTTTTGCAGAGGCTGGCAGCCCCGTCAAAGAAACGATGCTGCAGCCAAAACTTCTAGATGATTGCCTGCATGGGAAAAGGAATGGAAGAATGGAACAAGTTGGAGAAGCGAATCGAATGTTCCTTTTTTGCCATGTGGATGGAAGCTGAGGAGAAAAAGGGCGAACTAGTGCAGCACTGTAAGTTGCTAGAGCCAACAACGTAGCGAAGCGCCCAGTTCGCCAATCTTCCCCATTGGTCGTCTGGTCCTTTTTTTTTTTTTTTGTGTGTGTGTCTTCTCCAGAAAGCATGGCATTTGATCTCGTTGGCCTCTTGAAGTGGGTTCCATGTTCCATGACAAGCTTTGCACAACCCGATGATCTCGTTTCTGTGGCGTTTTTGTAAAGCCCCAGGGTTGGGGTTTTGGAACAACAACACGATGAGAGCGCCATCTCTCCAGACTCCACATTCTACGTGAGCACTGCCTGCAAGAAGCAGAGAATGTTCCAAGCACATGCACGTGTCTTCCGTCAGAGGAAGAAGACGGGGGACATGGAAAGAAGAGGGGGGTGAGCATCACCATTGAATCCATCCCATCGTGCAGGACAATCAAAAACCTCGCCAACGCAATCAACAGCCCTCCCTCCCCGCAAATCTCAGGCGTCAAAAGTCAAAATAGTCCCACCGCGCGTGCTGCACATCTCTCTCGAAACAGCAACCCAGCAAAACCAAGATTCCCAAAAGATTTTGACATCAGCACAGCCAAAAACAAAACCCCCCCATGCCAATGCAACTCTGCAATGAGGTGCAAACTGCTACGATGGCCCTGCATCATCTCTCTTGCCCCTCCCGTCACTGCAACCCTGTTGCACGAGAATATAGAGAAAGGGAGTGAGAACAGCGAGCTGGAGAAATGAGTGAGACGCAAAAAGAGAGACACACAAGAGACACACACTGCCGATGACAGAAGCCGAGCCCTGCCATGTCCCAAAACGACCAACCAGGCACAAATCAACAGATCCGCTAATGCTGCTCTGAAACGTGCGAGAAGCGTGGCATTTTGGAGCTTTCTTTTTTTAGTAGAGGCGTGTGTGGTGTGAAGCCGAGTGGCGGCTCACTATCTTTGTCCCTCTTACTCTTCCTTTTTTTCTCTATACTTGATAGAGTAGGTACGTAATAATAAGCCTCTATGATGATCGTGGCTAGTTATATTTCACTCTCTCTCCTTTTTTTTATAAAAAAAAAAAGGAAATGAAAGAGAAACAGTACCAGCATAACAGTACCTATAGCAAATCATCATCACAATACAGCGTGTAGCACTAGGTAGTAGCAATGATACCCTGTTCAACTCTCGCTGGCGCATCTCATAACCACGCGCCCTTCTGACCCGGGCCTTGCTGGCCACCGCATCCTCCTACCCGTCACCCTGTCGGAAGGATTCACCTCGCCACGCCGTTCCATCGTCGTTTTTTTTTTCCCACTGCCCATTGTACGATGGATGACGATGCATCTGCCTTGAAGTCCCGTCTCGACCCCTCCATGGGGGCTGGGTTTGGGTTGCCGACCCTAAAGTAAAACGAACAAGAATAAGATGAAAGCAAAGCAAGAGACAGCAAAAGATAGCAAAAAGAAAAAAAAAAAAAAAAAAAAAAAAAAAGGGACGCAACATTCTATTTGGCTAGCTACATGTCCCTGTTCATCATTTCCTTTGCCCATCTTCCGTTCTTTTCAAATCTCCCCATCATGCTTCATCATCAATTCTTCTCTCATTTCATCTTTCATCCCACTTACATCGCCGATGAGTAATACATGGCGGGGAGTAATAAAAGTGCCGTTCCAAATCACAAAGATAAAACGGGAAATATGCATGAGTCCAGATGAGGTGCCATCAACTCTAACCGGCGCCCTGACAGGCCCTCCAATCCAATCATCACCCCATATGCCGGCACCATGCTTGTTACCGGGGGGGGTTCCCTTTCTTCCTCTCTTCTCTTTGGGGGGAGTACGAAGGGGGCCACTCTACCCAAAACCTGCCACGACCAAACAAACAACAACCGGCCAAACTCCACTTGCCTGTCAGTTCCGGCAAATCCTTATCCCCATGCTCCCTCTCCCCCTCCTGCTGCTACGGTACATTTTTTTTTTTTTGCTCTACTACGTATTACTACCTTACCTACTTCCTTGTAACAACATGCATGCCTGTACAGTACGATGCCGGCCCCTCCATGGCCTTCTCCGAAAAGGGAATCTATGGCGAGGCTATCACCAACCCCTGACCGATCTATTTCGGAGTGCGAGGAAAAGCAATTAAGAGAGAGAGAGAACGAATAAAAACAAGGACGGAAAAAGATGGCGCTACTAGCCTCCTTCGTCCCGTCGACAAGCGCTTTTAGTGTGAAATGACAATTGACAAGGCGGGCGATGACCCACGCAGGCAAATGGCAATTATAGCTGCCGTGTCGTCGTCAACCGTCAGATAAGGAAGGGGGCGTTTAATAAAAAANAAAAAAAAAAAAAAAAAAAAAAAAAAAAAAAAAAAAAAAAAAAGGACGCTACATTCTATTTGGCTAGCTACATGTCCCTGTTCATCATTTCCTTTGCCCATCTTCCGTTCTTTTCAAATCTCCCCATCATGCTTCATCATCAATTCTTCTCTCATTTCATCTTTCATCCCACTTACATCGCCGATGAGTAATACATGGCGGGGAGTAATAAAAGTGCCGTTCCAAATCACAAAGATAAAACGGGAAATATGCATGAGTCCAGATGAGGTGCCATCAACTCTAACCGGCGCCCTGACAGGCCCTCCAATCCAATCATCACCCCATATGCCGGCACCATGCTTGTTACCGGGGGGGGTTCCCTTTCTTCCTCTCTTCTCTTTGGGGGGAGTACGAAGGGGGCCACTCTACCCAAAACCTGCCACGACCAAACAAACAACAACCGGCCAAACTCCACTTGCCTGTCAGTTCCGGCAAATCCTTATCCCCATGCTCCCTCTCCCCCTCCTGCTGCTACGGTACATTTTTTTTTTTTTGCTCTACTACGTATTACTACCTTACCTACTTCCTTGTAACAACATGCATGCCTGTACAGTACGATGCCGGCCCCTCCATGGCCTTCTCCGAAAAGGGAATCTATGGCGAGGCTATCACCAACCCCTGACCGATCTATTTCGGAGTGCGAGGAAAAGCAATTAAGAGAGAGAGAGAACGAATAAAAACAAGGACGGAAAAAGATGGCGCTACTAGCCTCCTTCGTCCCGTCGACAAGCGCTTTTAGTGTGAAATGACAATTGACAAGGCGGGCGATGACCCACGCAGGCAAATGGCAATTATAGCTGCCGTGTCGTCGTCAACCGTCAGATAAGGAAGGGGGCGTTTAATAAAAAACACAGAATTTGAAAAAGAAAAAAAAAGAAAAAAAACAAGGCTCACCAGGAAATTAAAAAAAAAAAAAAAAAAAAAAAAACATCAATCACGGTTTTGCACGGCTTGGCGATTTTGCCAATCCCTCTACCCCACAAACGTCACACACTTTCACCAAATCAAATATCCCCGTCGACGAGGATCCCTTACCTCTCAACAGTGATGAGAAGTACATTCTGGTCGTCCCCAAAGCATAGACCATATCATACAAGTATTATTCCTCCCTGATCCACAAATGCATCACACGATGGCCTCTCTGTTCGGATTCAATCTCTCCCTCTCCCCTGCAGCTTGGCGGGTGGTAGTACATACTACTCTGGCCAAGTGCAGCATCTCGCAATCGACAAGGCGGCCACCCGTGGCAAATGAAGCCAGCCCCAAGAGACGATCCACACATGGGTCTCTCACACGCGGCACAGAAGAAGAATAGCAATATAGGACTTGCCGTGCGAGGCAATTACCGCAAAGTTGATCAACGGGTAAACGATGTCTCCGAGAGCAGCCCCAAACTACTGCTGCTAGGAGGAGGAGGGGGGTCCCGTCCAAAACGAGGTTTGAGTCGGCAGAGACAAACGTGGCATACACAACATACATGGGACGATCATACAATCTTGGGGATCCATCAACGCCCTCCCTGGGAACCCATTCAAAAGTTCGCGATGCAATTGCCCGGTCAGGATTTGGGGTGAGTGCCCCCTTTCTATTCCTCTTCCTCTTCCTCTTCCTCTTCCTGTGACTCCTCCTCTTCCTGTGACTCCTCCTCATACAAAACAACGCCGCCGCAAGAAAGAGGATTGTGAGACGAAAAGGCTAGATGTCAAACCCTCTTGTCCATCTCCAGCTCAGCAATCCGCCGTGATCAAGTAGTGCTGTAGCATCGCCATTTTGCATCCCATCAACGCACTCCTCCCCTTGGATCCTTTCCTTCATCCACGGCCTTTGAGACGCGCGAGTATCATGTCTGCATCACTTAGCTTCCTCGGCATGCCGTCGACATGCCTTCTTGAGCGCTGACACTCCCCCCAGGCATGTATACGCAAAAGCCCAAGGGCCTTTCCTGGCCCACGAGGTTGCACTGCACCCCCTTGTTGCAGTGCTAGCAACAGTCTCCAGAAACCAAGATGCATTCGTGCATGTATTTCGCTCGTTTGTCAACAGAGTCACATCGCACATCTACAAGCGCTTGGGGATCTTGTCCTTCAAATCCCATCCCACGCCATTGCCACGTTCTCGAGAGTAGTGCTACCCTCCCTCTCTTCAGACCGCAGACATGCGTCGTTACCTACTTTACCAAACACGACTGGTGCCTGGATCAGCCATCTCGACCCCTGGTCCGGCATAGCCTCTAGAACTATTCGACCATGCCGGCCCTTCAACTCTGTGCAGGTACAGCCGCAAAAAGGACACAAGAGAAGAAAAAAAAAAAACTGCGCATGCACTATGGAAGACACGATGGATGTTATTCCTTACAGACGATTCTGCAATGGAGAAAAACCGGGGCAGGGTGGCTGCGCGTCCAGTCACGAGCCGCTCCTCTGCATGGAGAATCATGGATACGGCGATGAGCCATCCATACTGCCTGCACTTGGCTGCACTTGGCAGCACTGCTACTCTGTTCAGCTTGCAATCTTGCAGACCTGACCGGCCGCGAGTGGATAGCCGTTGCAGATTACCACGTGCTTTGCCAACCCTCCAAATCTCCCTCGGGAAGGAAGTGGTGTGTACCCAATTGCTCCGTATTAGAGTGGGCAAATCCCACGGACGGCTGCAAGGAGTGCACATTTGCTCCTTACTGGCTCAAGACTTTCGTGCAGTAACGCGTAAACTAGACGGACAGGGCCCCTGGTGCGGCTCCCCGAAACCCATGCTCGCAGCCATCTCAGCATCGCCGACCTATCCGGGAATCACTGTCCGCCTCATAGCCTCTGATGCTTGACGTCTTTGATACGGCGCCCTTCTCGGGCGCCTCGTTTATGCAGTTCTATCAACATCGGCGACTTCCGTCCAGCATAGCCTTTCATGTTGAAGATCGGACCCATGCCTGACAGTGGTGGTGGTATACCAGTATGTGGAGCCTGCATGCTACGGCGGCGAGCTCCGTATGGACAGAAGTTCCAAGCCCCAGTTTTACTGCCGGCTACTGCTAATACCTAATGCCTGTCCAAGCATTATACAAGGGGCCCATTGCCTACCTACCTAACCGGATATCGCGGCGGCAGCCGGGTTGTTTGCTTTCCGCCTCGAGTCGCCTGTCGTGCCTCTTTTAGATATAGTTCTGACAGTTCTGACTCGACCACTTGGCCCCGCAAAGCAGAGCTGGCACTGAATACTTGCATCAACTGGACCCTGGACAGCATGAGTCGTAAGAGGGCAGCTTGGGGCTCTGCTAGCTAGCAGTACTATTCCGCAGCATGCTTTGGTAATGATTGTTAAGACAGCGCCAATCTTCGTGTAAATGATGAAGGGGGCATTCTGAAGTGATCTGATGGCACGAAATCAAAACACGCGGAATATTAGGGTCATCATTCTCCCTTGTTTTACCATTCTTTTCACCTACCATGTTCTTTTGTTATTTTCCTGAAAAAGGTAAATGTCAAACGACGCTGGTCACTGACAAATAAGTTGGATCCATGATCCCGGAGCAAACCCACCCCCCAAAACACATGATATGGCAAGCATTTTCCCCATCCATTGCCACATAGGATTTTGAAGGCAAGACAGAGAGAGAGAGAGAGAGAGAGAAAATAGTATAGTCACCTTGGTAGCACTAAAGCATCCACGTTACTCTGGGATGCTAGAGGGATGTGTCGCACAGGCGCAGTTTTCAGGATGGAGAGAAAAGGGAAAGAAGCAAACACAAACCAAAACGCAGCACGTAGCACTTACCACCCCTGCAATAGAAGTGATTGAAGCTAGAGATGGACTGGAGGAGTAATAGCTAACTGGCTATTCGGTAGGAATACTGGCGCGGTGTCGGCAAATAACCATGGTTAGCGCTCGGGGGCATCTTCGGAGATGGGCCGTCAGGATTGTGCTTCGTATGATTCGTCACCAGGGCTAAGCGATTTGCTCAAGTTCCCTTTTCAGCAAATCGTATGCGATCGCCGTCGATCATCAATCACGTAGTGGTGAATAACCATTCGACTCTGGTGCCTGCCGACCGCAGCTAGGAACAGGACTGAAAAGAACAGCATCTAATTCAGCATTAGTCTCAACTTGGCTTGGACAAACGGGGGCAAAATATTGACCAAGTCCACGTTTCATCCACATAATATTTTCTTCTCTCAGGAAAGGACCTACAGAGCCCTGTAGGGCCACTGCAGAGTTCTATTAGGATTGACATCTGTGCGTGGTATTGTGAAGCCCCCGTCTTCGATAGTAAGCAGCAGATGGCACTATCTCTGTCCCCGAAGCCCAGCTTAGCTGATTTAGGTGCTACTGGCTGGTTTCGTCTGCCACTCGCGCCTAGGATGGGCCATTTCCCCAAAAATAGTTGGGGAGACTGAGTGGTGCAGGGCAGTATAGAGATGGATAAAATAGGGGGCCCAGAAGCAAGTTGTTGGCCCCTCGTAAGAAAAAAAAAATAGAATAGTAGCAGCCGTAAACATGCCTGATGGCTGGCTCGGTGGCTGCCTGAAGAAAGACCAGCTCATAGAACGCCACATCATGTAGTTTATCCCGGGGAGGGTGAGTAGGAGAAGCTGAAGCTGAAGCAGCAGCGAGGGAGGGATGGATAGCCTCAATTAGCCAATTCCATACATTTTGGCGTGTATGGAATAGATGCAAAGAGAGAAACAAGAGGTGCAAAAGATGAGGTGATGGGTCGATGCAGACAAAGTGCGAAGTAGAGTACAGGTACTGGGTTGGCAAGGTTGTACGGAGCAGAAGCCGCAGCGAATAAGACGGTGTACAAATCCGCTGCCTAAAGGTACAATCTTGATACATCGTCGATGCTACCCAAACGGGTCGTAATGTGACGCTGTGATGCAAGATGTCCTGGCAGGTGCATACGGCGACGCCGTGGTTAGAGGAGAGGCCAGCACGTGTTAGATAATGATAGGAACAATACCTCAACCCTCGTCGTCCTGCAAAAGCGCGAGACCGCCCAAAGGAGCGAGACCCCGAAAGGAGCGAGCGAGACACCCATTGACTGGCTGGCTCGGACTCGTGTTTCACTTAGGACAGACTTTGCGTTAGCAGTATTAGGAGCAGGACGACAAAATCAACGTTCAAAGATACCTAGTCGTTAATTGGCCTCCCAACATGCTCCGTACGGATCTCATAAACACTACAATCAAGGAAAAATAGAGAGCAAATAGAGTGTGTTTAGCTCATACACTGCGACCCGCCTTCCTCGGCACTCGCCAGGCGGTCCGCCCAGCTTCCACAACGTCCATAAAAGACGACGTCGGACAGGCGCACCGTACTCCGCCCGGTCCGTGTTTATGCCCAGTTGTTCGGTAATTGAGAGATGGGATAGATGATGGGGTAGATGATACGCGGTAGATACATTACCAGTCTTGATAGTAATAAGGTAGTAGCATTAGAACATCATACGAGATACGAGTACATCCTCGAAAGTGGATGACGCGTGGATGGACAAGCAGCAGTGACGATACCGTAACAAAGAACACCGCACAGTATCTGTAACAGGTACCTACTCTATCGGAGACCTGCAAAAATGCGGACAACGAGCGTGCGTCTAGCCTGGCACTGCAGAGTGCAGTGCAGCATCTTCGATGAAACAACCAGGTTGCTTGCCACTTTTGAAGGCGGTGTTGTTGTCATTTGTGATATCCCGATGCCATCTCGAGCGCAGTGACCGCAAGAATAACTAGCGACAAGAGGCAACACCAGCAAAATTAGACGGTATGGTCACAGCCTCGGCGAGACACCGATCCGCAAGTTGCTAGCACTAGTTGCAGATTGCTGTGACTGAAGTTGCATCCGGGGAGGCAAGAAGCTTCAAGGAAACGTGGACGCTGCAGGAGGCTCCATGCGGCGGGCCAGCTCTCTTTCTTCCCCTGTCGCTGTGCCTCTCTTCGTCGCCGTATCTGTCTGCCAGCACGAAGGGATCCAGAGACAAGAGGTCCACAACAGCTCCAAAGTTTATGTGCATACGCTGTCACAGACCAGACCAAGGGCTCCATTCTTCTGCGTCCATATGCAGTGCTGTGCTGTGTGTTGCAGTGCAGCGCACGAGGCGTGCCCCGTTGCGGCGGTGCCCATCCCGCCTTTTCTCCCGCAAAACTGAAGCTCCCGCACTGAAAAAGGGCGGTCGACCAGGGAGCATCGCGATGCCCATGGCGGGACCCGCAATGCCAAAGTCCACCAATGGCTGCATGCTAACCAGGGCGGCCATTGACGCAACGTGAACGGGTTACACGGCATACGGACTCTGGGCACGAGTGTCGTCTCCGTTGACGAACAAGCTTCGACGCCGCCGCCGGCTTTCTAAGCACTGGGGGTGGCCATTAAGCCGTGACGACGAGCTGCAGATAGCCAGCCGGCAGGCAGGCAGGCAGGCAGGCAGGCAGGCAGGTAGGCAAGGCAGGCAAGGCAGGCATCGGAGAAGAAGGAATGCCAGCAGGAGGGGCGGAAGCACAGCAAAAGGACGCCAGCTTGCGTATACGCAGTCGGTCCCGAGCTGTTCTACTCGACTTGGCGGTGTCCTCTGTTACAAGAGGCGAGATACTAGTACTGCTAGCAGCAGCTCCATTGACCATCAAGAGCCGGGGATGAGCTCCTAGAGCTCCCCTTGCCCATTTGACTGGGCGTTCAAGAAGAAGAATTGCGAGACTAGCAAGAGCTGGCTGTCGGCCACTCTTCTGAGTCCCTCCCAGCAAATTGCCGTCTCAAATCTCGAGCGACAGCCAGGACGCGATACCTGTTTCGGGGATGCGAGAACCTGTGGGAAACCCAAAGCGCTGGAGACGCTCCCCTGGCTGCTCGCCGAATCTCTGGCACTGCAGTACCGATTTGAAGGACGGCGACCCGTGCAACGCGGCCAATGGCAGGGGAAACGC